ATGTATGGAATACTCACAATCTTGTCTCCAACAACATGCACTAGTGATATTTAATTCATACATAATAATAATTAATGTTTTCTGATCAAGCAATGGAGGACATGGGATTAATGACAATCAACTCTAAATCATATTTTCTCTTTGCACTTATTCCAAATGTCTTAGTCATGTCGAGTTCTTCTGGCTTGCTTCCATTTGGGACTTTCCAGTCGAAATGATAGAGCAGGTGAGCAAGTGCAAGTTCAATGACTGCACTAGCAAATGAAATGCCTAGACTTATCCTCCTTATGACATATTAATTTATTTTTGGCAATTATCTTTGACATTACAAGTCCAAGTTGAGTTGTAATTTAAATTACTTGTTATACAAGTTATCAAGTTTGACAGGGACTACAGAACTGGGAAGGAGTTCAAACTTACCATACTTGAAGATTTTTGAAGAAAAAGGTAAGAACACCACATAGGAAGGTTTCTAAACAAGGTTGGACATTCGGAACATGTTTTTACATTCTGTCCATCTTAAACTGGTTCAAGGATAATCGAACAGGTTCATCTTGAACTGGTTCAAGAATAATCAAACAGGTTCAACTTCAGCAGAGTGGAGATTTTACGTTCTGTCAATCTTGAAGTGGTTCAAGATTTATCGAACAAGTTCATCTTGAACTAGTTCAAGATTTATCGAACAGGTTCAAAAAGTCCTGTTCACTATACAACTTCAGTTTCCTTATCCTAAATTGTTTCCCCGTTGGTCTAGAATTGTACCAAATCCTATACATGAATTTTACCTTATTTTTAGAGGGATTAGGTCATTGTAAACTCTATATAAACCATGTCATATACATCGGTTTATTCACGGCTTTTACATTATTATTCAGATATTATTCAAAGCCTTAGGAAGATTATTTTTGCAGAAAATCAGAGTTGATTTTTCTGATATCTTTCTAGAACACATACACATAAACACATAGTTTAGAGTTCTGGTGTTCAAATTTTAATCCTGATCATATAGTTGTATTAACATCGATCAGACGAAGCAGATCTTCTTCTACATCATTCAGACGATTGAAGAACAGAAGTAAACACAATCACACTTTGGAAGGGTTGGAGCATTCGTGGAGTGCTATCTGATCTACCTGCTACTCTTTTATGAATATCAAGTGTAAGCCTGAGGTCAAGTTACTGTTGGACCGGGAGTCGCAAAGCTAGAGGATCGTTAGCAGTTAGTGTTGGGTAGAATAAGAGGGTGTGAACCAGAGTCAAAGTTCGGTATACTTTGTTTCAAGCATAGTGGATTGGTTTACTTTGGACTGCACAAGTTCATGAGGTTTTTCCCATAACAGTTGACGCATTTTATCAACTGGGGTTTTCTCGCTAAAATCCTGGTGTCATCTCTAACTTTATACTTTGTTTATTTTACTGCATGCGATTAATCGTTTAACTGCTAAACTAAGTAAAGTTGGTAACGACACAGATCTGTTTTACAAAATCTAAAACTTTCCTAAAATACATTCCGCTGTGTACGACTCACACTCTTACATGTTCCAAATGGCAGAAATTTAAAATTAGTTCCCTTAAAACTCGCAGATGAATCAACAAACCTCTCTGGTTTAAAGTATTCTCCGTCACCCTAGTATTTTGGATCTGCGCTCATTTCCCACACGTTAATCAACATTTTGGTTTCTGCCGGTATCTCATATTCATTAATTTCCTGAATTATATGTAAATTTTTTTGTGAGTGACTTTTTTTCATTTTATTTATTTCAGTTGTTTTTATTATTATTTTTTTATAATATATTATATTTAAAATATATATATTTGTTAAATAAAAAATAATTTACACTAATATTTAGTATTTTAATTATATATTAAAAATATAACTTTTATTAGTATTTATTATATATCATTAGTATATAACATGAATAACATACATTTTATTTAAAATGAACATCATATATGTAATAATAATAGTGGAAACGTTTTTGCTCAACAGTGTCGAAAACATGAGAAATATCTTTTTTATGTTTCCTACTTTCTTCACAAAAATAGAAAACGTTTTTTGTTATAAAAAAATAAAGAAGATACCATAAAGACAAAACAATATACTAATTAATTAATTAAAATAAAATACCATAAAGTACTAACAAATATAATTTTTGAAATAAAATATGTATAAAATATGCGCTAATCAAAAGCTCGAATTTGGAATAGACCTATTCACCCCTCTTTACTCTTTAGTTCTTATCTCAAGATACTAATTTGCTATGTTATTTATTGTGATTGGCTACAGTCTCAGTTAATACTTTTCAACTAGACTCATTCCTGAGTTATCTGATAAAATCGTTTTTCTTAAGTTAAGATGTAAATTGACGTTATTCAAGATGACTTTCGAAAGTGTTCTGAAAATGATAGAGTATTAAGATCCAAAGGATCTCTAGAGAGGGTTTTGAGATGAAAATTAGTTTTGAGATAAAAAGAGAGACGTTTAAGAAAAATGTATTTTTTTTTGAATGAAAACGACCTTTAGAGAGGATTATGAGAAGAAAATGAGTTTTGAGAAGAAAAGAGCGTCGTTGAAGAAAATGTGTATTTCTTTTTTAATGAATATGACCTTTAGAGTTTGTTTTAAGATGAAAATGTGGTTTGAGATGAAAAGATTGACATTTAAGTAAACGTGTGTTTTGGAACGAAATGACCTCTAGAAATGGTTTTGAGATGAAGATAAGTTTTCAGAGCATGGAGGTTGATTAGTTAGGCGGGAGCCGAGAGGTTTGACAATAGAATAGTGTACATTGTGGACAATCACAGTTTCTGGAGGATCTTGATAAAGTCCATTCAGAGTTATTTGGTTTGTGTGCAAGATTGAAGATGCAATGTATTGTTTTGATTAGTGTTGTTGGAAGTGATAATTGGCTTAATTAAATTAGAGTCAATGTGAAGATTGTTGAGACTTTGTCTCAAATTTATAGTTTAATTGGGTTTCTATTTTAGAGTTATTTTTTTGTCAAGAACTTCTTATCAGACAAGTATTGGGCTCTAAAGAATTATAATTATTCTCTAACAAAAAATTGGGTTTGGAATTCTATAAATAGGTACGTAGGTTATGGATGAAGACTTATGAGATGGAGAGAAATGCAGTCTTGCGAAGGAGTTGATGGGTAGAGGTAGTTTATAAGTTGATAGAGTAGTTGTAGACACTAAAATTTGAATGGAATTTTGTTGCAACAAATTGACCCATCAAATATGGGTTTAATGTTTAATTAAATTATTTAATTAGCTCAAACTTAGTCCACTTAAATTATTTAATTAGCCCAGCCCAAATGATTAAATGAAAAAAAATTTATTCCTAATAAAATATATTTGGAATAATTATTTTTAGGGATAATTATCACAATATATGGATAACTATTACAATATAACCGGCCCAACCCAATTATAATTTTGTCCTTATCAAGAAAGGACACGTGTCATTATCCTATTAATCCAAAAAGCCTATAAATAGAGGCATGAAGAAAGGAAGAACGGGTCCAGAAATTCAGAGACTTAGAAATCCAGGGGTCCAAAAAGTTTTCCCAGAAAGAAATACAGAAGCTTTGCCAACATTCATTTCCAACACCCAAATCTGAAGGCAAAGAGTAACAAGCATATCAAATCGTGCCGTTCTTCATCAAAATTCCACGATGATCAACAAAAAGCACATCCAAAACCGTGCCGTTCTTCATCAAATTCAATAAAGTCTCTGAAAACGAAGAACAACAAGCACATCCAAAACCATGCCGTTCTTTCTCAAATTCAACAAAGAACAACAAGCACATCAAAATCGTGCCGTTCTTTCTCCGTGATTCAACAAGTTTGACGAATCACCATACAACACTGTCCGAGATCAAGCTTCGTCAGCCCTCGATAAGAAATCATTGGCGATCTTCTTCAACTACAAATACTTGAAGAAGATTTTCAGCAACCCAATTCAAGATCAAACTCCAACAACCCTTGAATCCAACCAACAAAGGAGATCGAATCAGAGGATATTTTCTTTCTTTTGTAAACAATATCTTAGAGGATTGTACTCAATTTTCATAAGTAAATAAATTATTATTTGCTCACTATTTTGTTCTTTATTTGCAAACTACAAAATTTGCGTTTACAATAGCAAAAATACTGGTAACACTAATTGTGAAAAGTCAAGCTCGTGAAATAGTAGACGATAAAAAGATAGATATATTTCATTAATCATAAAGAAATGTATCTATCTATCTATCTATCTATATATATATATTTTGAACTATGTAAATTTCTTTGTACCAAATTATATTAAATATTGTGTTTGCGTGTGATTGTTTGATTGACTACTTCAGTTGATTCATCTTCTTCCATTAATTGTTGATGCAGAACACTGTACACGAACCCACCTCAACGAATGAAAGAAACAAAAGAAGTAAAAAATAAATACTACGGGTAAAACACAGCAATAGAAAGAGAAAAGTCAATAAGAAAACAGTTACGTAGTACAATAGTGTGAAATGTTTGTTCGGCAAACTGTCGTAAGTCAACGTAAGCTTATCAATCAGTGTCCTGCTTTAAAAATCAGGAGTGAGAAATATTTTGGCTGTTGCAACTCATTACTTTAAAAATGTTAAGTCTGATTGAAGAGTAAGAACACATTGAGTTTTGCTTCACCATTGTAATTTTTTTTTTTAAGCTTTTGCTTAACCTTTCGTCAATTATCCAATATTCAAAGCCAGAACCAGCTCTCATTAGAAACAAAAAAGGCAAAAAAATTGCAATGCATTAGAAGGAAGTTATCTGAAATGGCAGTACGTAGATCAGCTATATGTTATACAGTATTTAAAAGGCCAACATGATCGATCGATCAACTGAATTACATTCCAGATGTTCAGTTGAAATTAAAATCCTTGCTTGAATTTCTGTACTTAATTATTTTCTTCATATATATGGAATACTCACATTCTTGTCTACAACAACATGCACTAGTGATATTTAATTCATATATAATAATAATTAATGTTTTCTGATCTAGCAATGGAGGACATGGGATTAATGGCAATCAACTCCAAATCATATTTCCTCTTTGCACTTATTCCAAATGTCTCAGTCATGTCGAGTTCTTCTGGCTTGCTTCCATTTGGGACTTTCCAGTCGAAATGATAGAGAAGGTGAGCAAGTGCAAGTTCAATGACTGCACTAGCAAATGAAATGCCTGGACATATCCTCCTACCTGCTCCAAATGGCAGAAATTCAAAATTAGTTCCCTTAAAACTCGCGGATGAATCAACAAACCTCTCTGGTTTAAAACAATCTCCGTCACCCCAGTATTTTGGATCTGTGCTCATTTCCCACACGTTGATCAACATTTTGGTTTTTGCCCGTATCTCATATCCGTTAAGTTCCCGAATTATATATATATATATATATATATATATATATATATATATATATATATATATTTTTTTTTTTTTTGCGTGTTACTTTTTTCATTTTATTTATTTCAGTTGTTTTTATTATTAATTTTTTATAATATATTATATTTTAAAAATATATTTTTGTTAAATAAAAAATAATTTACACTAATATTTAGTATTTTCATTATATATTAAAAATATAACTTTTATTAGTATTTAATATATATCATTAGTATATAACATGAATAACATACATTTTATTTGAAATAAACAGCATATATGTAATAATAATAGTGGAAACGTTTTTGCTCAGCAGTGTCGAAAACATGAGAAATATCTTTTTTATGTTTCCTACTTTCTTCACAAAAATAGAAAACGTTTTTTGTTATAAAAAAATAAAAAAGATACCATAAAGACATAACAATATACTAATTAATTAATTAAAATAAAATACCATAAAATACTAACAAATATGATTTTGGAAATAAAATATGTATAAAATATGAGCTAATCAAAAGCTCGAATTTGGAATAGACCTATTCACCCCTTTTTACTCTCTAGTTCTTATCTCAAGATCCTAATTCGCTGTGTTATTTATTGTGATTGGCTATAGTCTCAGTTAATACTTTTTCAACTAGACTCATTCCTGAATTATCTGATAAAATCTTTTTTCTCAAGTTAAGATGTAAAATGACGTTATTCAAGATGACTTTTGAAAGTGCTCTGAAAACGATTTTGAGATCTAAAGGATCTCTAGAGAGGGTTTTGAGATGAAAATTAGTTTTGAGATAAAAAGAGTGACGTTTAAGAAAAAAAAAATGTATTTTTTGAATGAAAGCGACCTTTAGAGAGGATTATGAGAAGAAAATGAGTTTTGAGAAGAAAAGAGCAACGTTGTGTGTATTTTTTTTTTTTTTTAAATGAATATGACCTTTAGAGTGGGTTTTGAGATGAAAAGATTGACATTTAAGTAAATGTGCGTTTTTGGAATGAAATGACCTCCATAAATTATTTTGAGATGAAGAAGTTTTCAAAGCATGGAGCTTGATTAGTTAGGCAAGAGCCTTGGAGGTTTGACTAATTGAATATCGTATGGACAATCACAGTTGTGAAAATAGAGTTATGCGGGGTGCAGAAACAGTTAGTTGATTTTAATTGTGATTAACTCCTAGAATGACATAGATCTAATTATTAGGTCAACTTGCTCAATTTATGATTGATTAAATTATCTGATCAATTTAAACATCCACAATCACTAATATATGTAAAGTAAAACAAGTTAGAGTTAGAGAGATTGCACCAGGATTTTAGCGAGGAAACCCCAGTTGAGAAAATACGCCAACTGTTATGGGAAAAACCTCGTGGACTGTGCAATCCAAAGTTAACTAATCCACTATGCTTGAAACAAAGTATACTTAACTTTGACTCTGGCTCACACCCTATCGTTCTACCAAATACCAATTGCTGACAATCCTCTGCATTTGCGACTCCCCGTCCAATAGCAACTTAACATCAGGCCTATGCTTAATATTTGTAGAAGAGTAGCAGGTAGATCAGACAACACTCCACGAATGCTCCAACCCTTTCAAAGTGTGATAGCGTTTACTTCTGTTCTTCATGATCTGAAATCGATTGTAGAAGAATTAAATCTTGCTCTTTATTTGGAATCTCTAAATCCACAATATAGCTCCAATTCTGATAAGATAGAGAACAACACAACTAAATCACTCATGAATATATGTGTGTGCTCTCAAAAGTAAATTCAGAATAATCAGATTTGATTTTCTAAATTTTCTCTCTATAAAGGCTTTCTCAAAAATATAGACTTGATTTTCCCTAAAGCCATTCATAAACCAATGTATATGATAAGGTTTATATAGAGTTTTGAAAGTCCTAATCCCTCAGAAAATATGATAAATTTCGTGCATAGGACTTGGAAGAAGTTAGGATAAAAAAGGAAACATTCAGAAGAAGGAAACTGAAGTTAGAATAGTACCGGGACTTCTTGAACCTGTTCGATAATTCTTGAATAGGTTTAAGATGAACAAACTCTAAAATCGCCATTCTGCTGAAGTTGAACCTGTTTGATAAATCTTTAACTAGTTCAAGATGGACAGAATGTAAAATCTTGTTCCAAACCTTCCAAAACCCTTCCAAGATGTTCTCACTACTCCTCAAACCTTCTTAAAACATTGTTCTCATTATCTCGGAGTGTAGTATCCCATGAACACTTGACCTTCTTCAAATCCGCATCCGATCTTCAATCTTTGAAATTTTGAACCGAAAAATTACAACTCGATCAGACTTATTTTGACAACGAAATTAGCCAATTACAAAATATATATCTCACAATAGTTTCTGGAGGATCTTGATAAAGTCTATTCAGAGTTATTGGGTTTGTGTGCAAGATTGAAGATGCAATGTATTGTTTTCATCAGTGTTGTTGGAAGTGATAATTGGCTTAATTAAATTAGAGTCAATGTGAAGATTGTTGAGACTTTGTCTCAAATTTATGGTTTAATTGGGTTTCTATTTTAGAGTTGTTTTTTGTCAAGAATTTCTTATTAGACAAGTATTGGGCTCTAAAGAATTGTAATTATTCTCTAACAAAAAATTGGGTTTGGAATTCTATAAGTAGGTATGTAGGTTATGGATGAAAACTTATGAGATGGAGAGAAATGCAGTCTTCCGAAAGAGTTGATGAGTAGAGGTAGTTTATAAGTTGATAAAGTAGTTGTAGACATTAAAATTTGAATGAACTTTTGTTGTGACAAATTGACCCATCAAATATGGGTTTAATATTTAATTAAATTATTTAATTAGCCCAAATTGGTCCACTTTAATTATTTAATTAGCCCAGCCCAGATGATTAAATGAAAAGATAATTATTCCTAATAAAATATATTTTGAATAATTATTTTTATGGATAATTATCATAGTATATGGATAATTATTACAATATAACCAGCCCGACCAGTTATAATTTTGCCCTTCTCAAGAGAAGACACGTGTCATTTGTAATATCCTGTGGCACCCCCACATTTTCCACGCATAAGTTGATCAGGCTTATACACGAAAAATGAGGGATATCAAAAACAATTGGCAATATACAAGCATGGAATACAAAATGATAATAATAAAAGAATTTAGACAGGAAAGGAACACTAAATAATACAACATCCATCCATCCTTTATTTAATACAGTACTCCATTACAACTTGGAAATCCTATGTCAAGGATCCCTAAATATAAATCCTGAGAGTTCAACGTCAAAAGTAAATAAAAACTGAAACTGAAGTAATACATAAACTTCTACCCTGAACTGGATCATAAGAGTAGATGAATTCGGATGGTGGTCCCACACTGCTAGCCTCAACCTTGGAACGGGTACTGACCGTATCCTGAAATAACAACAATAGTGGGTCAACCCCACGAGCAAGTCCTCTCTACTATGACCCAAGTCAGAGAATCAAATAAATTAATCATTATGAATCGGATGGGTACTATATTTGTATACATCCTAATGGAACTACCCAATGTATAATATGACCTCAACCAGAATAGACGGTGATCACTTAGACTCACACTAGGTGGTTAAGTGTCGCCTTTCCCTACCCGGGAAATCAGCTATTATACATGGTGCACGATACTGACAACACAGACTATAACGAACTACACAATGATAACACCTCTCAATGTACTGATGAATATACTGAGCATATCAATTAGGCAACACATGCTAATAATATTACTAAATATACTGAGTACGTCAATTAGGCAACACATGCCAATAATATTAATAAATATACTGAGTATGTCAATTAGGCAACACATGCCAATAATATTAAACCACATACCCTGACAGCCACACATCTGTCTATTGCAACGAATGCATAAGGTATAAATGAGTCTAAACTTATTCGCCAGCTCACATGGTTCTATATGGCAACACATCTATATAATATAAATGCGACATAATTAATTAGTCCATTTATTCCCTGAAATGCACACAGCATAATAATCATGGTTTATATATGATTAACAGTATAAATATCCGATAATATATAATGGATAATTTATATGACGATAACCGTGACATTATTATATTTGAACAGTAATAATGAATACCATTTAATAAAATAATAACACCATCTATAGTAATGTTGTTAAATGAATCACATTCATATCCGTACGGTAAACGAGCCAATAAATGCTTAGAAAAGATTAATCGGCCATAAGAATAATTAACGGGTAATAAAATAATAATTTCGTGGCCCGTCAAACCCGTAAATACCAACACAGGCCCTAAAAATCAAAGTTTAAGGTTCTGAAATTTACAAAACAGGCCCTAGGGGTATTCTGGTAATTTCCAGCAGCTGACAGGGCCCTTCACGCGCCCCCACGCGCCGCCCTAAGCTCCCCCACGCGCAGCCCTATGTTTTCCACTCTCTCACGCGCTCACACGCGCCTCCACGCGCGTGTGGCATCATCCAAGCGCGTAATAGTCACTTGCTGACACAGCGACTCCTGGTTCGCCGGTTGCATTGCTTTGCTATGGGTGCGCTGCATTGAATCGATCCAAGGCTCATCCTTTAATCCAACAGCTCCTGACTTGCGTGCACCATGATATTGTGTGCTGCGCTATACCGAATCAATCTGTGATTTAAAATCCAATCTAACCGCTACTGATGGGCGCGCATAGTAAGCCTTGTGCGCCGCATCACATGGGATCACTCCGGTCACCTTCCTCGTTGCCGGTGGCCGGAAATCTCGCCGAAGCCTCGCCGGAAATTACAGAAAAATCCCGAAAAATTCTAGAAAATTCTAGAAAAATCCCTAAAGCCTTATTTAATTATTTTCAGCCATTATTAATTTCATAGGATATTAAATAAATATATACCATCCTATATAATTAAAATTTCACAAATTTAATAAACTAAAATTCATAATTT